GACTGCCCAGGGAGGTGGTGGAGTCACCGTCGCTGGAGGGGTGCAAAAACCACATACTTGGGGACATGGTTTAGGGGGCACGGTGGTACTAGGCCAACAGTTGGACTTGATGCTCTTAGAGGTCTATTCCAACCTATGATTCTATAAAATCATGCCAGGGCCCATCCAAACAGTTTAGCAGTAAAAACTACAGAGTTTCAGTAGCTGGAAACAGTTTTCTCTTGGTTTGGTAGCACAGGCATAGTTTACTACTTCTCAAATAAATATATTGCCTTTACAGAGTATCCGTAGCTTCTGCCAAAACAAACAGGAGCTCCTAGTGCTCGGGACTTCAGAAAATCAGGCATCAGGTTATAAACTGGGAGGAGAAGGCTAGCTTCCCACCATATGTAACAGCCAGGTTTACTGGCTAATACAGCCATAAGTCCCACACCTAGAATATCTGTATTACTGACAGGAGGACCACAGATTCAGCCCTTCCAGATCTCAGGGAAGTTCCTTCTGATCCAAAAAAGCATCAGCTACTGACAGGTTCTGCCTGAAAATCCTGGCAGTCATCAGCTCTGCAAGAACATCTCCTCCCAGGATCAGAAGCTTTTGGCTCAGCAGCAGAAGAAACCACTGAAAGTGCTACCAGAGTGACTTCACACCTTTAAGAACTGTGGGGCCAGGGATGGTCTGGGACTAGTGATCAGAGTGATGCTGCGTGACTGGGACGTTGGAAAAGCAGTCTGTAGCCTGTAAGAGTAAGAACTGCTCTCACTGAGGCTCAGGCTGGATGCAAAGGCTGGCCAAGGAGGCCCAGGCAGGTTGACAGTTCAGGCACTCACATTCAGGTCCTCGGAGAGGGCACAAGCCTCCACCACCTCCTCGTACAGCCTGGCGTCATATTCCCGTCCAAAAAGGATGTTCTCACGGACAGTGGTAAACTGTATCCAAGGCTCCTGTGTGGCCAGACCAAATCCTTGCTCCAGGTCACAAACATACACTCGCCCACCTTGTCTGCAAGCACATCAAAAGCGGGTGGAAAGGGCAACAAAGGAGAACCGTTGGCAGATCAAAATGGCCTACAAGTAGGGATAGCACTGGATAGCCTCTGCCTGCCACGGCACAGGGGGACCAGGCAGGGAGCAGTCTTTAGGCTACTTACTTCATGAGCTCTCCAGTGATGGCGGCAAGCAGGGAGCTTTTGCCAGAGCCAACCTTCCCAACAACCCCCAGGAGCATCCCCTGCAAAGGGAAAGGAAAAGGAGCAACCTGGTGGGCTAATGCAGGGTGGCTGGTCCAGATTCCTTGAGCCGCACGTAGCCTGCAGGAAAGCTGACTGCTGTCTTAAACCAGGACTGTCTCGCAGGTCCAGCAGCAGAGCTGGGCACAGTTGTCAGGTAAACCAGATTCCCGCCACGGCAGGACACGAGCCTGCAAGGAGCGTTAACTGCGGAGCCCAGCTGTGTTCCCTGCCCAGTCCTCTCCTGCAGCAGCGGCAGAACGCAGAGGGAGCTGGCTCATCTCTTGTCTGTAAGCCACTCCTGGATCTCCTCCAGCACCCTTCAGCTCTGAGACACGTGGTATGTGTTCCACACCTCTTGACCAAGAGATTTCGATGCATGACCCGTAAGACCGGGAAAACATGAAACCAGGACACCCCTGTTCCATTATTTGGCTTCTCTAGTGCCATTCCTCTCTGTTACCTCCTGCATCCTTGCTCACCTTTCTCACCGACAGGTTGTCAATGTGCAGTTGCAGAGGGCCTGTGGCTAAGGGCTGCCTGGTGCTTCCCTCCTCAACTGGGGCCCACGAGAAAGCCGCACATTGCATCTCCACGGCAGTGGCAGTACCTGAAGGGCCATCTGCAAGAGAAAAGCAGCACACCATCGCACTAGGAGAGGGCCAGAAAATGAAAGGTGCCTGGCATTACAAACACTATGAGCTTTGTTCCCAAATGGATGAGGCCATGGGCAGGGCACTGCCATGATGCCATCCACCAGAATGAGATGCTTGCCTACTGACTTGTCCTTAAACTTATACCTCCCTTCTTCCAACCCTCCTGTCTCCAGCTCCCACCAGACACGCACGGTGACCTGCTGGCTGTCAGGGAGACACTGTAAGGATAACCTGGTTTCGTTATTGTAGAAGGTTAAAAGAATAGCAGGGATCTGGCAAAAGGCAAGGAGCAGAGAAAGGGAGCTGAGATGGCTCAGGGGAGGGGCACGCACTCAAGCCTTTCTGCCAGGCAAAGCCAAGGTTCTTGACAGCTTCAGTGTCAGAGGAGCTTTGGACAGAGGAGGGAGCAGCTGCTTCTAAAGGGACACTAGCGGCAGGGCTCTGTGGGGACAAGCCATGGCCTACGGTCGGTACAGAGGAATGTTATAGCCTTGTCTCCCGTTTTCCACAGAAAGGAAGTGCGTTCCCTCTGCCTCTGACAACCCAACGTCTTGAATCAGGGAGTGGCAGCCAGCTGCCCTCCAGTACTGCCCCTGGGCCTCCCACCTCAGCCCTCTGCTCCAAACGCCCCCTGCCCAAGGTCCCAAACCCAGCAGCATCCTTTGCTGTTACCTAGGGCATAATAAGCTTCCAGGTCCTGGTCCATGAGTTCAAGAAAACGCTGGATTCGATCCAGGGAAACTTTGGCTTCCAAGGTCCCGTTCAACACCCACGGGAAGCTGTTGAGGGGCAGAATAAGCATCCCAACAAGGGCCAATGCTGTGAACACCTGCACGGGTAAGGAAACAGCCATGAGTTGGAGGCAGCACCTCCCTGGTATCTTGTATCCTCCAAACACAAGCTTCACCAGTGAGAGCCTGAAGAGCTGTGGGGAGACACAGGCTGGGTGTATTTCCCAGAGAAGACGCCTCAGGACTGCAGCCCCACTGTCCATCGTCCCCTGCACGAGACAAGGCTGGAGGTCTCCCTGCTGCCCACTCACCTTCGTGGCAGTGAGTTGGTAACCCAGCAGGACGTAGGTGATGAAGATGGCAATGGAGACGACGACAGGCAGCGCTGCCCACAGGTACACGCACGCGGCGTCCCAGTACTTGATGGCTCGTAACTTCTGCAGCTCTTTGGCCCGGCAGGCATTGATCCTGCTGCTGAAGTGCTTCTCCCAGGTGTAAAACTTGATCACACGAATGCCACGCAGGAACTCTGTCATCAGCTGCAGGTAAAGAGGAAAAAGCACAGAGTGACCAGGACCTGCCTAACACATCGAACGCCAGCTAGGCAGCTGGGCTGCGGCCAGGTTTGCAGCTGCCTCCTGCTGAGGGCCAGGCGAAAGATACCAGGAACCATTTATGGCTAACAAGGACATAAACCCAAGCGACAACCACTGGGAACTTTGCTCTCGCTCATTGCACCAGCTTTCTCGCCCACCTGCGCGGCGTACAGCTCAGGAAAAGGTAAAACATTACACTGCTTCCCAGCTGAAGGATGTGCCACGCAGGGGAAGGGATGGGGGGAATTACCAGCTCCAGCCTGGGTGCCATTCACCTACTTTGGCCCCACAGCACCTTGAGATAATAACACCTGATCCTCAGGCCTGGTGCTGCCATGACGCAGCTAGTCTGTGCCCAGAGCCTGGCTGGCTCCCCTCCAGCAGCTCAGGTGTCCCTGCAGCATGCTGCCCTCTCGTTCCTGCTCTGTGCAGAGCGAGCTGAGATGTGTCTGTGCCCGACACGAAAGAAAACGAGTAAGAGAGAGATCACTCAGCAAACCAGTCTTACAGCAGTTGGAGAAAGCCCAGCATACCCCATACAACTACATGCACCTTCTGTTGGGAAAAGAAATATTTTTAAAGCTCCTAACAGTTCTGACACGGAGTTGACGTATGTTTCGTGCTTCCAAAGCTCGATGGAAACGGTGAGTGCAAGTGCTGTCCCCTCACATTAGAGACACAACGCTAAAAGGTGGGAATCAAACATTTGACACGTGGTGAGGAGAGAGATGGCACTGCAAATATGCAAAAAGCAGTGGAAAAGATGACCGAGGGCGCCAAACTTAGAGCGATATAAAACTACTATGTCTGTGATCTTTGCCTTTGTCCAGACTGCAGCCCACCTCGCCATCAACAGCGTGACTGGAGCACTAGGTTGGAAGCATCTCTAGAGGATGCAATCGGGAGTCCTACCTTAACTGCTACGCACAGGAACGAAACCTGCAAGGGAACCTGAATTAGCCCAGGGAGCAAGAAAAGCGTTAGAGGTTCACCATCTCGTGGGCAGTTAAACTGCATCACCCTGACACACTTTTGAACCAAGTGGGGGTGTGTGTGCATGTGCCCCTCGAGCATTTTTCCCAACGCCGAATTACAGAATCATCAGGTTGGAAGAGACCCCTGAGATCAGCGGTGATTCGGTTAATCTGCTTTGGATCATGACCAGCGGCCCAAACGCCAACGTTCGAGGGACAAACAGGGAGAAAACACAGCAACGAACCCAGAGGGCCACCAGCTGCCCCTCACCTTGACCCGTGCGTCCTTGTGTTTCAGCATCTCCTTGTTGTTCATCATGATGCGATTAGCTATGAGCTTGTTGACGGGCACAAGCAGCAGTGCCAGGGCCAGGCCTCCCAGAAAGGCCACCCCCACTTGCTGGTAGAGGAGGTAGAGGGTAATGGCAAACTGGAAAGGCAGGCTCCACACCTCGTGGAAGCTGAGGCAGAAGTTGACCAGCCTGCTGGTGTCCGTGCTCATGAAGTTCACGATTTCCCCCACGGTGAAGCGGGTGAGGCGGGTGCTGCCGACACGCAGAGCCTTGCGGTAGATGGCAGAGACGACGGCAGCCCGCACCATCAGCGTCACCTTGTTCACCTCGTAACTGAACTGGTTCCGCAGAAGAGCGCCCAGGAAGGAGCCAGCAAAGAGCCCGAGGGCATAGAGCACCCCATGGCTCAGGGGCTCCTGCCGTGACTCCATGAAGTTCACCAGCAGGTTCAGAAGCAGAGGGCCCACGAAACCCAGCAGGTTGCCAGCCAGCTTGAGGAGCCCCAGGGAGTAGAAACGAAGCCCAAAGGCCGCGTGAAGGACTGAGAAGAGTCGCACGGCCTCCTGAGCACAGCGTGAACTGCCCGGGGCATCACTACTCCCATCGCCCCCAGCAATGATGGGGCTAGTGAGGGACACCGTCTCCTCCTCCGCTCGGTGCAGACCCGCCTTCTTCTGCCAGCAAGAGTAGAACCGACCGCAGACCCTGTCAGCCTGGAGCTGGCAAGGAAGCGCGTAGACATCCTGCGGCTGGTTCAGCTTCCACTGATAGCCACGTTCCATCAGAGGGTTCATCCAAACATAAAAGAAGCGTGAGAGCCAGCTCTCGCCGTCTTCTGCCACCGTCTGCTGATCAAGCGCTGGGATCCCTGGCTCGGAGACGAGCTGATCTTGCTGCCAGGAGTGATTGATGGGGAGGAAGCCTTGCCTGCCAGCGGCGGGGAACAGGTAGCCGACGGCATACATGAGCAGAGAGGCCAGCTGCAGACAGAGGAGGGCAAACCTGGAGGAGGCGGCAGGGTGGGCAGGGGACCATGCCACCCTGCTTTGGCAGTACCACACCAGCGTGACGACGAGAGCAGGCAGGGGCATGAGAGGGAGGAGGGCCAGGGCCGCAGGGCCCCTGGGGGAGCCGTGAATGGACCTGCAGAGCACGAGAAGAGCGAGGCCGTGTGTGAGCCACGCCAGGGCGGCGGTGCCATTGGCCAGCACTTCCAGGTACACAGGGCCCAGCTCCTGCTGAGAAAGGGCTGCCGGGATGCTATCGGCGAGGAACAGGCCAGCAAGGACGAAGGAGGCGGCAATTCTGCATCCCCAGCCTGGCCTGCAAGGCACCCTGGAGCCAGATCTAGAGGAGGAAAGAGCAGAGAAAAAATTGACAGTTGAAACTCCATCATCTCTCAGCCCGTACTCTCCTTTCTTCCTCTCCTCTTCCCCCCTTTAGTCATTCACTCTTACTTAACCTCCTGGATTCACCTCCCTAGATTCGTAACTTTTTCAGACTGTAAGCATTGCTAAACTAAACCAGGTCAATATAGCCCAGTATACGATCAAGACCAGACATTCAGATGATACCAAAGAACAGTATTTCTCTACAGAAATGTTTGCAAACTTGGTCAAATCAGACTCCAATCCTTGAGGATTAACAACCAAAAAAAAAGTATATTTAACTCCTTTAAAATAAATTCTGGACGATCAAATTCTCTATGTCACATCTCTGATCCTTGATTTCTCTTGTCTTTGTGACATTTTGTCTAGAAACGTTATTTTTGTCATGGCTGGTTTCAGTGATGCTGTGTATCTAAAGTCCAACAACCTTTGGCCCAACAAAATACTTTGTTAATCACTTGATCCATTATCATTTGTGGTCTTTCAACATCAGTGAACGTTGCCATGTTCACGGATTTCAGAAGAGGGTATAAAGAAAAACAATTTTTGATTTTTCTGAACTACTTTTAACCTTACACACCTTTCATGCCACCTTGGATTTATATCCTCTCCCATAAGACTCTCAGTTTTCCCAGTCTCCATCCACTGAAATTCTTTTGAATAACTTTCTGAGATTTTATGCTCACTACCCTCTCAGTTCTTTCTAGATTCCTTTCTGCAATGGAGGGACCAGAGCTGTACACTGTACGCTGAATTAGGACAGATGCTGACAAATAGAATAGCATTATAAGATTGTGTCCTTCTCTAATTACATATTCAGCACGTTATAGGGAGATCTAATTTCCAGCCTTTCCACCCCACCTCCAGTCCCACATAATAACCAAAAGCTAGACCAGTTAGCAGTCATACCTTGGAGTGCCAAGGAAGCAGGCACTGACCACGGCAAGGATCACATGAGGAATCACATTTAGTGTCAGCTGATTAAAGCAATGGCCAACGCTGCCGTGAACCCACACAGGGAGCGGATCTTCTGGGCTGGTCCCACACAAAGCAGCCAGGATGTCCTCCATCCTTTGCTGGGAATTCAGTGTGAGAGACAGGAGCTCCTAGGATAGAAAAGCAGCAGCAGCACGAGGTACAAAAGGAAGAAAGTGCAGCCCCAGCCCCAGGTGGACTGCGATAGGAAATGAACATAGGGCTGCAAGCAGCTTCCTGGGTCACAAAGTCCAGGCCCTGCTATCGTCCACCTGCTATCATATCATCTACTTTATAAAATGATCAAGCTCCAGCCTAAATCATGTTGTTTGTCCCCTCAAGTCTCCCTGGAACGTCAATGCTCTGGGAAATGTGAAGCTTTCTGTTTATTTCCAGGCTGATTTTTTTCCCCGTGGTCAGTTTATCCTTTGAAACTAACACCAGGGAGCGTTCGCCTTTCTATTGATCGCTCTGATACATCTTTTGAGCCGCTTCAACAACAATCTATCGATTCTATTTCCATCATGAAAACAATTCCCACCACGGTACTCCCTCGGACAGCGTGTGACGTTAAGCACGGCGGAGGGTGCTGGTGCCCACCCAGGCTCCAGAGCCCCGGGGAACAGGCAGGACCCCGTCCCCGGGTGCCGCCCCACACACTGAAGCAGCCCCGGGAAGGCCTCGGCTTTACACCCATTGCTTCGTTCGCACCGGCGGGTCCCGTCTCCAGCCGGGGGCCGGCTGAAAGCCGCGGGCTCGGCAGGGAGCGACCGGGCACCGCATACGGGGGACAGGGCGCCCTCATGGCGGCCCGCGCC